GCCAAGGTACAGTTGAAACGGGTGCGTTTTCAGTTTTACATTTTTGGCTATTTAGCAATAAATGACTAGATGAGAAGATAATTGTTGCAGCCTCAATGACATGGTCACTTTATTGTAGGGATGTGCAATTAATCGTATTTTAATCTCGATTACGATTTTGGCTTGCAACGATTACGAAAACAACGTAATCGAAATAAAACTTTTTTGTATTTTTTTTTAAATAAATGGATGTTTTCAAAAATAAATGGATAATCGTTTTTAATAATCGTGATATCAATTATTGACCAAAAATAATCGTGATTATGATTTTTGCCATAATCGCACAGCCCTACTTTATTGCATAATTTCCAAACCATGTGGGCACCGTCAGGCTGTGAGTGAGCTCTGATTACTGAATCATGTGTATACTGTATGTGTGTAACAGTATGGCAGTGGGCGACCAGCTGAGTCTGTGTAAGGGGGGATGCGAGGCCATCGTGGACTCCGGGACGTCTCTGATCACCGGCCCCTCTGTGGAGGTCAAGGCCCTGCAGAAGGCCATCGGGGCCTTTCCACTCATCCAGGGAGAGGTGAGGAACAGACTGAGGTAGAAGATGTACTTTTACTTTAGTAAAAGTAGCAATTGCTAAATAGAAAAATGTGTGAAGAAACTTCCTGGAGTGAACTTTTAGCCTTAGACCATTAACATGCACATAAACCTACAGTGAAAGGAAAACAAAAAGCATAATAACCTGTGATAATAGGTCAATGTTTAATTTAGGTTCCTATTTAGTATTATCTAATTACCTGAATCTGAAAAGTAACTAAAGCTGTCAAGTATTTGTATTGGAGTATAATATAAATTATTTGCTTCCAAAATGTCGTGAAGTAGAAATATGAAGTAGCTTAAAATTACAATAATCAGGTAAAGTACCTAGTTTTACTCGATAACATTCCACCAGTGAAAAGTCTTCATTTTGATGCTCTGAATAAGCAAACTTTTTATTTTTAAAAGATACAATTCTAATTTTTGCTCTCCAAGGTTTAATTTGATCTAATTGGAAACAGGTGTCACCGCACATCTATTGTGCATATACATCGGTTGCTCTATTTGTCATGTATGTAATGTTTGCATACCAATCTGGGGAAAGAATGCAGTTTGATGCCTTTTTTTAATATCTTCCACTTTTGTCTGTTTGTAAAGACAATGAATGCACTGATTGAACGGTGTAATAAACAGTGAATTCTTGTTGTGTTTCAGTACATGGTGAACTGCGACAAGGTCCCATCGCTGCCCGTCATAAGCTTCACCGTGGGGGGCCAGGTCTACACACTCACCGGAGAGCAGTACATCCTTAAGGTGAGGATGTTGGAATGTTTACAACCAGCAGGGGGGGGGGACAGTCAGCTCCTGCCGCAACACAACAACACTGACTGTGTGTTGCATCATGGTAAACTAAACAAATGCCGCTTTGTTTCACTTGGCAAAGGAGGAGGCTGGTTTGTTGTCCGAGCAGTGGTTGCACACATTTGTCATCAACACATTCTCACATGTATTATGTCTTCATCTTTAACTGTATTCTTTCCTTGTAATTGTCCAGGTAACTCAGGCTGGAAAGACGATGTGTCTGAGCGGCTTCATGGGTCTGGACATCCCCGCCCCCGCCGGACCGCTGTGGATTCTGGGAGATGTTTTCATCGGGCAGTACTACACCGTGTTTGATCGAGACGCCAACAGAGTGGGCTTTGCCAAGGCCAAGTAAACGCATCCCGTGCTAGAGCAACACGTTTTTTTAAATTCTGAGTTTTGTGAGACAAAAATCTTATCTGCACACTCTTTCCGTTGCTTTGGATCCAAACCGTGTTTAGCAATAGATTTTGCCTAGAGTCTAAATGCACTGATCCGAAATAATTTGTACGATTTTCAGTGTGAAACGGATTGGAGGTTTGATATGACGCGTGTACATAATCAGGGATCAGTTGACTGTAATGGTATTTCCCTTTTTAAACATTAAAGTGATCTAATTCTTTTTTATTTTTTTTAATCAGGGATTTGTTTTTCAAAAAGAACGATTTTAATTTGCATTTAAGGAGGAACTTGTTCCTCTACTACTGACTTTGAGCTGTACTTGATGTGATTTGGTCTGATTAAACATTTTTTTTAAAGAAGCATGGTGTGAAAATGAAGAATAGTCCACCAGTTTTACATTTCACCTCGAGAAGATTATCTGACTCGTAAAAACAATTAAGGTTTTAGGAATGATTTGCTAATCTGGTCAAAAAGAGTTAACAGCGTATCATGTTTGATACCGCAACCTTTTTATTAGCAATTTGTAGTTGGTATATGTTTCCAGTCAGAATGCTATGCTAAGCTAACTGCTTGCTAGCTGTAGCGCCATACTGAAAGTACAGATATAACGGTTGTATGAATTCTCATATCTAACTCTCGGCATAAATGCAAAATATGTACAAGAAAAAAATATTAACTTTCAAGGCAGTCATCTTTCAAACTTTATTATTCCCTCATCACTTTGATGTACAAAATGTCAACAATAGATTTATCCATAAAGGTAGTTATTTTACCTAACATGCTCAATATAAATACAGTTCACATGAAACACAATCCCTCAGCAGTTTAGTACGAGTAGATACATTTTATCTTCACATATTTTTCAATATAAAATCCAGTTTAGTAAAGCCTGTACAAGAGCCTGAAAACATCATCACAGAACCTGACCTGAAAAAACAATTAACACACAAATAAAATAACCACAAGGGAGTGTGTCAACTATCTGCATTAATTAAATATCCTAAACATCTAAAATACTTCCTCAAATGAATGCAAACACTGCAATAACCCGACCATTACCACTTTCTAATAAGGCATCCATTATAACCGTGATTATAACGGGTTTATTCAGTTACTAATGTAAAGTAGATCACTTGGTGAGTCATCACTTGCCCTAAGCTTGCCTATGAACCATTTAAGCCATATTATACTTGTATATTTTAATTTGTAAAGCGGTCTTTTAAGAATTTGAGGATGTTGATGGAACAATTTCTTCAAAACAAAGGGTTGTTCTATCAATGATAACTACAGTACGTAAAAGAAAAAAGTATTAGTGGATACAACAATTATAAAGCTCACAAAACAGGCCAAGAACAACTATTTTTTGAAGCATAAAAGTCAAACTTCTGTATGTGCTACATTTCCCATCTTACAAAAAAGCAACTCTTATAATCGTTATTGAAGTTTAAAGGTCACCCATTATGCAAAATCCACTTTTTGCATTTCCTTTATACATAAATGTGTCCCCTCTGTGTTAAGAGATTTGGAAAGTTTCAGGAAAAAAGATTCCCTTTTTGTCCTGATCCATCTATATAAAAACCTGTTGACAAGCTGATCAGATTGTGGCCACTTTGTGATATCACAATGTTTTTTTGGGCTGTGTAACCATTAGCCAATAACCAACCAAGGTAACCCACACCTTATCACCTGAATCTCCTTCTAGAGCACGATTTTGTTTTTTCAAACCAATCTCTCAGAGGGGCGTGGCCAGCAGCAGCTCATTAGCATTTAAAGCTACACAGAGGGTGTTTCTCAATGTCGAGGAAGGCTGCTCCAGAGCCAGTATTTCAAGGATGCTAAGTCATCGAGTCCCGCCGAAGGACTGTTCCAATGTCCAGGATGCTTGGAATTCTACCGAGGCCGGCGTCCTTCGTTGCGGGAAATTTCGAGGCTGCACATGTGTATCCTCCGCGGTCTTAAAATCCCCACAATGCTTTGCGCACGGACCAATTTCCAAATCTTTGGCGGAAATCATGCTCAATTTAAGGCGGGGCCTCGCATATGACGCACACCTGCACACCTGTTAGCCTGTTCCACCCAGAAACACCCACAATCAGCTCTTTTGAAACAGGGCTGAAACAGAGAGGTATGAGGCATGATACAATGATCTGTTTGTTATTTCAAGCCAAACACTTCAGAGACATGTTTTGTATATATATTTCAAACCTATAATATATTGTTGAAAAAGAGTAGGATAGGTGACCTTTAAAGATCTCCTATCATGCTATTTTTAGGCATATATTATGGGTCTCAGATATATACAAATATATAAAAAACATGTTTATGATGTGTTTTGCTCAAAATACCAAACAGATCATGCATTTTAGACATCCCTCATATCCCTCTGTTTCAGCCCTTTTACTAAAGTGCTGAGTCAGTAGCTGCTGGCCCCGCCCACTTTGGAGCACGGCAAGGCAAGCAGTGAGGTCTCCTCTCTGCCTGCAGATAAAGCTAAATGCTGCTGTGATTAAATGCCATATCATGTTCCAAACCACTTCAAGGATAATTTCTCAAACAGTATGGAGCTCAAATGCTTTTTTTCTTGCGGGTTTACTACAAGGTGAGTTCCTTTTTTTATTTCCTGCTTTTTGACACATTGTGGGTGTTTCTCAATCTCGAGTAAAGCTGCTCCAGAGCCACTATTTCAAGCATACTATGTCATCGAGTGCCTCCGAAGTACTGTTCCAATGTCCATACTTGGAATATTACCGAGCCCGGCGTACTCCGTTTGGAGAAATTTCGAGGCTGCACATGTGTAGACTCCGCGGTCTTAAAATCCCCACAATGCTTTGCGCACGGACCAATTTCCCCAAATCTGTGGCGGAAAATGTAAGGCGGGTGTGCATATGACGCACACCTGCACACTTGCTAGCCTGTTCCATTCTTCGTTTTCCGAGGCTAGTAAGTATTCTTGCCTCGCTTCTGAAGCAAGACGCTCGGAAGACTTGTGCTACCAAGCAAGCGTACTCGAGATTGAGAAACACCCACTCTCTCCAGTACAGGTTATCCCTGAGTGTTAGCGATGCTTGCTAATGTAAACAAAGACCATATTACGTCCAAAACACGTAGTGCATTGTTTCTGATAGCAACGTTTCTGATAGGGCGTTGGTGTAAAGCCAGCCTACATTTCCGATAATACATCATATCGGCAGCAAATCTGGATCAGCTCCGTTGTACCCCCGTTTTTAGATATGTGGGTACGGAGGAAAAGAGAGAGGGTTTTATTTTTTGACACTTTGTGAGATCCCTGATACACCGGGGACACATTTATGTAAAAAAGACATAGAAAAGTGCATTTTGCACGATAAGAGACCTTTAAGTCATTCAAAGCAATACTTTACGTATTGCTTCAAAATTGGCTTAAAACAATTGTGATGTAAACATACTGTATGAAGAGGAAACAGTTATTGGATTAATTGAGAAATGAATCCTCAGATAATTTGACAATTAAAAGTTAGGTGCTGCCCTTTTAGAAATGTATAAATGTTTTGAAATAAATGGTGCCTTATTAGAAAGTAATCTTACTTATCTATTTACAACATTTCCCTTTAATACAACTTGGATCTTGTTTTAGTAACTTTGGCCACCGTTTTTACATAATATTACATAATAAGAACATTGTACTCACCAAATACCTGCAGAGATCTGGGAACAGACTGTTTGTAGCAATGATGCTTTAATTTTAGCCAAGACTACGAGAATAACACCAGAGATGTGTGAAGCTAGACTGAACCTTTAAAAGGAGCCATCTTTATGAGTATTGATCTCATAGTGTATTCTGCAATATTGTATACAGACGGATGGTGTACACTATGATACTCAAGGTGGAAAATAATAAATACTTTTTGGATACTTGCATGTATTCTTGGGGTTTTCAGAGATGTTGGAAGTGTCATGCTGGACTCCTGAGTCCTCCCTGCTGCTGTCTCCAAAAAGTGACACCAACAACAACCAGCTGAGTTTCATCCTCCGTCTGGAGTTTGACCTCTGACCTCTGCTGTCAGCCCTCCTTCTCCTCGCCTCCCTTCTCTTTACCGCGGTCCTTCTCCTCATCGGGCTCTGCGCTCTCACTCTCCTTCTCCCCCTCAGCCTCTCTCAGCGGGGCAGCCGGATCTCTGACCACCCCCTCCATATCCAGCTCCTCCTCCGTCTCCTCCTCCACCCGGCCCACAGTGTCTGGGATAATCTCCACCTCGATGTCGGAGGAGTCCTCGCTCTGCTTGAACCACACGGTCTTCTGGCCCTCCTTCCTCCTCTGCTTGTTAGCCATGGACCTCATGCCATATTCGTCCCCATCTCCCCTTCCCTTCTTGGACGTCCTCACCGAGGGGCTCCCCTTGGGGACGTGGTTGCTGCAGACGCCACAGGAGGAGCAGTTGCGGTTCCGTCCCTCCATGACCCGGCCTCGAGCCTGGGGGAAGGTGCTCCGTCTGGGGACCACGTGGTTTGAGCGCTTGCCCCCCCCGCGGCTGGCGTCGCCCTCGGTCTGGAAGCCGTCATTGGTGTACTGCAGGGAGTCCCTGTGGCCGGAGTGCTGATCCGACTTCAGGCAGGGGCCCAGGCACTGCAGGCAGGAGAGAGGCCCCTCATTAAAACAGCAGGTAATGAAGCATGGAGGATATTCAGGCATGTTCACTGCTACAGATGCCAGCGTATGTTCATATTTTATGTTTTAACACGGCCCTTCTGTGGATTTCAGCTAATAAATATTCATCAAAGGCACACAGGAGGACAAAGGCAGGATTAAACAGCTGAGTCCACTACTGAAAAACCATCACAGAGTGGAGGTGCCACTGAGAACAAAGGCTTCCACACTGTTTGAAAGTGGCCAAAACAAATTGATAGTTTCATAGAAAAATAATATTTTTATTGTAGAACCTACTGTCAATGTTTCTCTGAAAAGTCATTTGAAGAATAACGAATGTAAGGACAATGCAATTACAGTTTCTTCCACTTAAAAAGAAACCTTCTTCTTTCCGTTATCGCAGCAATCTTTGATTACATTGTATTTGTATTTAACACGTATCTATCCAGGAGGTTATGAGACAGAGCATTATGGACGGAGCAATGCTAACTTTTCCCGTGCTTACTGTTATTATGCTCAGCTAAGCTAAGCTCCACAAAAGGTCTCTCTGTAAAAGGCGATTCTGTGTCTAAATACTTCCTTGGTAAAACAATATTTAAGTCACTTATGTGGAGTAATGAAACAAAAAAAGAGCATTTTGAACTGACTTTGTAAATAAACATTGACAATAGCCTGTAAAATAAAATATTGTTTATAATTCTTAACATAGACATAAGAGAGTAGTATTATGCATCAGTTTTCCGTTGAAATGGGAACACTGGGTCAACAAGAACTTATACAAAATAAATAAAGGGCCTAAATACACAACAAATCAATACAATATCCAATAAAACATGCTTTAAAAACATTTTAGATGCTCAAAAAACTATGTGACTGACCTCACATATTTTGTCCATGCTGCCGTTTCCCTTCCACAAGCGGGAAATCAGGAAGCCAATCACGATGAGGCAGAGAACCAGCAGAGCCGCCATCACCAGACCCAGCAGCGCCATGTCGCCCGGACGGTAGCCGACGTTAGAGGGGGACGGGATGGCCACCGCTGAGAAGGGAGAGGGAAGTAAGAATAAGCCTCAGAAAAATTGCAACAGGATGCTGGGGAGCTTAATTCGAGATAATTCTAGCACAACAACTTGTGTACATGGTGTTAAATATTTTAATTTTGTTTAAATAGTACAGCATCATATTATCTCTAAATAAAGACAGCTTTTTAGTTGCTGTTTACTAGTACTATGAATGTTAATTCCTCAGTCAGTCTGATAGAGAATAACAGGGATGGTCTAACCTGGAATGACCTGAACAGAGAGGGCAGCTGATCCAAACTCCCCTGTCGCCGAGTCCACAGCTCTGAGCTACATTCAGAAAGAAAAAAAGTCAAAGTAAAAAAAAAGTGCCAGTATATGGAGACGAAAATATTTAATTGTACTTTATTTAAAAAAATGTTGACACATCTGTCACCTGAAGTGCAAAAGACTCCGTCTTCACGACTCTCTTCAAAATAACAAACCCGTCGGTGGTGACGTTGACGTAGCTGCTGTACTGAACCTCATACTTCACATCGGGATTCGTACCCTGAGACACACACACACACACACACACACACGGAAAATGTTTTTGTTTTTTTCATATTCACTGTGAAAGCTGACATTTTTAACCCATAGACACACAGCCCTAATCTTCTGGAAGTTAACCACTAACTTACAACTAACAAGTTAGGAAAACACATCTCAAACTGGTACTGAAAGAAACTGAGAGACAGTATACTTAATTTAATGTGATGTCCTGATGATTCTTTAAAATAATTGTGCTCTGTACAATGAATCTCTTATGATACAAATGCTAATTTGATGCAATGTTAAAATAGACATATTATTAGGAGCAGGGTTAAGAGACTTAGTTCTGGCTAAACTCACTGCAGAATAAATCCAGTCAAACTGTTTTGGGGGCAAAGGTATCTGCAAAACATCTGGAGTATCGGCTTGATAGATAGACTAGTTCACTCACAGCGGAGAAGTCCTCGTCCCGCGCTCTGACCCTGAAGGGCCGGTTGGTGCTCCGGTCTCTGAGGATCATGCTCTCGGGAACAGAGTTGCTGTAGATAAAGCCTTCATATCGTTCCTTCTCAAAGCGAGGAGGGTTCCTGCTTTTCTTCATCACTTCGATGGTCACCTGCGTCACAGCAAACTGATCCCTGTTTGTCACCTGAGACGCCTGAAGGGCCAGGAATGGACGATACTTGAGTTACATTCAGTTATTTTCCATTCAAAATCACTACAATAACAGGCCAGAATTGATTTGTTTGTTTTGTACCAGAACAGTAAGAGTTATTGGGCCGACAATGTCAGCAGCTTTAGCCATGGAGATGTTTCCTGTGTCCTCATCAATCTGGAAAATGTTCCCCTCATTTCCTGGTAATGAAAGAAAATACCATGGTTTGTTATTGGCTAATGGTTGCACAACCCAAAAAAACATTGTGACATCACAAAGTAGCCAAAATCTGATCAGCTCATTTTCAGACAGGTTTTTATAAAGATGGATCAGGACAAAACGAGAGGGACTCTTTCTTCCTGAAACTTTCAGAATCTCTTCACTCTGTGACAATCTCTCTCTCTCTCACAGAGGAAACACATGTTTATGTATAAAAGACATGAAAAAGTTAATTGTGCATAAAAGGTGACCTTTAAATAACAACCCTGCAACCCTGACAGTAACTTTATTTTAAACCAGTGAGGAAAACACAAAATAATATTTGTGAACATGTGATATTTTTTCAAAGATGGTTCTTGATTATTAAAGGAAGCTAATAGAGTGCCACAGTGACGCGTCCTAAAACCCGGAAGTAAGCTGCGCATGGGTTCCTTCCACAAAAAAGCAATGGGATTTTCTCTATAGGATTTTGGGAAATAGCGCCGAAATAAGGTCTGTGGTTGACACACATTTAAGAGACGGATCACATTTTGTTCAGTCGGATAATCTCCACATGTCTACCCTATTTTTATAATTTTCGAATCATAAATCTATCGATTAGATTTACGATTAGAAAATTAGGACGCGTCACTGTGGCACTCTATTATCATAACAAATAACGAAACGAGACTTGCAGGGGGTGGTGAATGTGCTATCACATAATATTAACCGAGAACATCACCACTGTAGGCATCATGAAATAAAGTTGTTTCTGTTCAAACCTCGCAGGATCCTGTAGCTGATCACCTCGCTCCGGTTCTTGTCTCCATCCTTAGCGAACACCGGACCCGGCTCCAGCACCAACGGCCCGTCCTGCGGGTTAAAACCATCACACCGTTATTCTGCTGCACACATTTGAAATCATTCAAACCAAGGCTTTATATCTCACAGGGGGACCTGAATGAGTTAAACATCTGATGAAACGCATGTCGTTTCAGGGAAAGTTCTCGATAAAGTTTCTAGACAGTTTTCAGCACCTCTCTTCACTTTCTGAGCAGTGTGAGAAATAACTCTTTTGCATAATACTATATTTAAAGCCATCATCATTAGACACTGACACATGTTACATTCACGGAAACTAATGAGGGTTTATATTGAATTATCACAGAGGTCTAACCTGATGGTGCATTCAGGTGATCCTGGTCCTGTTAAATTAACATAAAGTCAATGAAAAGACATTGGATATTTTGTAGACTCTTCGACCACAACCTAACAGTCTACAGTTACAGTATGTCCACCATGCAACTTTAGCATGTTAGCATAGTACACGTGAGGCTGTTGGCATTAGTTCTGCAGGTATTTGGTCATAAACAAGTCTTGGACGATTCAAATGTTGACCTGATGATGGAGCTAGATGTTGGACATTAATGAGACATATTAATTGCACCTGCATGTGTTTGGATAAACGCTGTGAGGGGATGTTTTATAATTCTTATTCAATAAAAGGAAAAACCAGCTGCTCACCTCCTTCTCGGTGAGGTTGACTTTGCCCCTGTAGCCGGTGCTCACACACAGTTTGGCGATTCCCAAGTTGGTCCTCAAACATGGCTGAAACCATGGCGGCCGGTTATCCACGTCCTTCACCTGCACCGTGATGGTGGCCACCGACGTGAAGAAGGGCTCGTTGGAGGCCGAGCCGTTGAGCGTGTCCTGGGAAATTATGATTTATACTCACAGGTCAAAGGTCACAGAGAAGCAGATACATCTGGATGTTGTTGTAATAAATTATGACTATACCTGCACGTGTAAAACCAGAGGGATCTTCTGCACAACATCGTAGTCCAGGATGCTTTTAACAATTATCTTTGGAGTGTTGATGTTTTCCAGTCGGAAATATTTATCCTGGTTTAACAAGCAGAGGGACAAGAAATATGTCATATCTAAATATATATATATATATCACATAAAACTACATTTAGCATCTCTCTGTACAAAATGCTTTACATGAAAACAATTATTTGAAAAAGATAAAAACATTTTTAAAATTAGATGCATTCGTGCTTATTAAAATGCAGAAAATGAAATAGAATAAACAAGGTAAAATATGTTTTACAATAGAGTGTCTCCGCATTAAAAAACATGCATAACTCAAGAGAGTGGTTCCCAATATTTTTTGGTTTAAAATGAATTAAAACCTCATTAAATTGAGTAAGTAAGTAAATAAATATCATTAACAAATTATATTTGAAGTAAAATAGTTAATTATACAAATATCTTTTCACTTTTGTAACTATCTATATTATGAAGCTTTTTATTCAGGGTTTGTTAGTGTATCACTTACAGCCTGTAGTATCTGCTTTGTATTGCCTGCTTTAGATAGACAAATATACATACAGCACATACTGTTTCATATTTCCTCTGCATCTTGCGGTTCTCTTAAATAATCCAGTATCAGCACCTCATGACATTAAATGCGTTCTTACTGTTGCAGGCTCTAAGCGATAGTACAGCGGCTCTGAATCCACATCTGAGGCTTCTATCAGTCCCAAACTGGAGTTGACTGCAGTGAGCTGCAAGAGACACAACTCAGTCAACACAGGGTGTAAGAAACCTGAAACACACACACTTGTGTAAAACACCAGCAACACTCACCTCATTCACCTCCAGTACGTAATGGCTTTGTGCAAAGTTTGGAGGGTTGTCGTTCACGTTTTCAACTAAAACCTCAACAGGCTCGTTCACCTTTAAAGAGAAGAAGCTCAGTTTACAATCAGAAACACTAACAGAGTTCTTCACCTTTTTACTGCTGTTGAAAAGCAATATTCTTGGTTCACTAGTTTAGTATTGGCTCCTTTGTCGTTATATTGTGTTTGTTTTACTCACAGATATGGACTCTTCTCTGCTGCACTGCACCCACACCGTCAGAGTTAAACTATCCAACGACTGACACAAACACACAGCAGTTATACAGAGCTTTAACGAACAATACATTATTATAAACACCAGTACTGAAGATAATTGAGTTGCCATAATTAAGTAAATATATGTTCAAGGACTCGACCCAAACAGGACATACTGTATTCTGCTGATTTTCAGTTTTATATGTGTATTTTCTCCCTCTACTGTGACATGTCTCCATGCTTTAATGTTCAAAAAGGTCTTTATTGTTCTCATACTGCCTGTGCTGCAGCACCTCTTTTCACCCTCTGTCTGAAACCAGAGCCCAGCCTGCTCTGATTGGTTAGCTGGCCTACATGTACATGCACTTAAGGAATGTGAAAACCCCAAAAAGCATAATAAGGTCTCTTAAAAGTCAATATATGACTAAATATACATTTTTGGTTGAATTTGATATTGTTGCATTTTAACGTTGCAATCTGAATTTAGTTTTTTCCCTTTTGCAAAATATAACAGTAGTGACTATACAGGTGGTACAACAATTTAAAAAAAGGGGAAGAAAGACTTAGAAACCCAGGTGACCTACAGAACTTAACATAATACATTACCAACAAACAGTCAAATAAAAGTGAGAATAATTCAATTATTATATCATTATATATATCTAATAATATTGTTTTGACATCTTTAAGAACAACAATTTAAAAACAAATGTAAAGGATCCTTATGGAGATGTTTGCTGACTATAAGGGCTAGGATCACATGTTTTAAACTCTCACCTCATAGTCCAGGCCTTTCTTCACCATCAGAGTGTTTCCTTTCAGGTAGAACAGATCTTCAGGGTTCACAGTGAGGGTCAGCTCCACATCATTAAGGGAGTCGATCTTAACCACCTCAACGTCGAGCGTGCTGTTCTCAGGGACTGTCACAGGGCCCGGAGGAACCGTGCACACTGAGAGGTGAGAGGCATCAGATACAGCAGAGTGTAGAGAATAGAGTGGAGGTCAACACAAGGCCTGCCGCATTAAGTGGGAGCATTAAAATAATTGTATCCAAACATGGAATGGAAATGTGTTGGGAAAGCAGGGTTATTGTGAATGAGGAGATACATATTTACATTACATAGAGGTTTAATTATTGTTTGTTTAGTTAGTTTGCTTATTTTTCCTTTAAAACATTGTAATGTTTGATAAATGTTGAGGTTTGGGCTGTTGGTCAGACATAAACACTGCAAGCGTTTCATTTTGGGCTCTGTCTGTGACAGCATTTCTCCCTATTTTAACTACTTTAAAAATCAAACAATCCATCCAATCTAATGGCAACAAAATAAATCCATAATGTAAAAGAATCATCGGTTAATAGTTGAAATTGAGCTCCAAGCTATCCAAGCTCCTTTACTTTTAAAACCCCAGGACCAAAACGTGCTAATGGCCCCCTGTTATGATCACCTGACTCCGCCCAGACACAAACCAGTATATAATCAAGTAAAATGACCTGGCCCACTAGTATCTCTGTGTGAATTAGTTGGCTGTTTGAATAAACACATTTTAATCCAGGAATCTGCTCAATCTGAGCCCAATGAAAAAATGTATTCGGACAAAGGGCCCCTCCATAAATAAGGGCCACAACTTCAGGCTGCCTTCCTCAACATTGTACTATGTTGGGGAAAAGTAAAAAGATTGAATTGAACTAACTTCATCTTGGAGAATATATAATATAAAGAAATATCAGCTGTGAATACGAAGCACAAGCAGACTGTTAGCTTAGTTTAGCATAAAGGCTACCAGAACCAGCCTACCTCCACCATTTAAGCTCAATAATGAACATGTTGTGAGTTTAAACTGCACCAAACCTTAATTCAAACAAAGATCCAAATAAAATATTCGGGGCAAATATCAAGTTGTTCTTTTTTTCTCTGATATGTCACATGTATTCTTATAGGATACGCTTTTTAGTGTTTTTTCATGCTGCACTGACATCGAAATCCCATGACTGGTTATGTGGATTAAATATCATAGAACCCATTAAAACAAGGGGACTCAGGAACCCTTCAATGGGCTGTGCAATCTAAGAGCCCAATCTTCTTTCTGATCCAAAGGGAGCACTATACAATAAAAGCACGAGGGTTACATAGTGATGTCAGTATATTACAGAAGTAAACAACGTAATCAAATGTGGGCGTTTCAGCCGGGGGGTTGTGGGAAAGGAACTCCCTCTGGAGGGAACTTTGGGATTTTAGCCTTTGCAGACCATTTACATGAACAAAAACCTATATAACGCACTACAGGAAAGGTAAACCCCTAAAGAAACTTCATAAGGCCCTCTTAATCAGTTGTCATGGTGTAAAAAGTACACTTCTCTCTAAGATGTACTGCAGATCCAAAGGGATCAGAAAGAAGAGAAGTATTTCAGTTTGTTAGTTTGTTTTTCCCTGGCTTAAGAGTTTTTAATGAAATACTGTATTTGTTGACCTGTCAGGCCTCCAAAGGTCCTTCAGAAAAAAGGTTAATTCACTCTTTTCATGAGGGATAATACACCCCCTGGCAACCACTGCTTTAAAGGCAGAGAAATTGAAAGCATCAACATGACTCTCAGCAGCCTCATCAACATCGCCTCCTGCCCTCCATGGGGCCGATGACTCCCTCCAGAGAAATCAGAGCTCTACTCACGTCTCTCAGCCGGACAAAGTGCACAAAAGCAGAGGGCCACGACGCATCCGAGGAGAACGTTCACAGGTTGGCTCTTCCATTTCAGTTCCATGTCCTGATTTCAGAGGCAGCAACAAATGAAGTCCCGGAGGAGGATGAGGAGCCCGTGGTACCAGCTGGTACTCGTCCACATAATGCCCCGTCTGTGCTGCCCGGCCAGTGGGAGTCGACTACAGTTGCAATGTTTGTGACTTCATCTTACGCGCACATATTGCATTAAGCGCCTGCCAGCAGAGGACTCGCAGCCTCCTACTAAAATACTTGCATCTGTTTTAGAAGGACGGGTCATTCTTTATTGGTGGCACCAATGCATTCTGGGAGGGATCCAGAAGAGGAATGTTTGCAGCTGAAAACATTTCCTCACATGGCTAACTCTTAAGGTTAGAGAGACCTGTTTTAAGTGGTACATACTGTACACAGATAAACATACAGGCCTACATCTACACAAGAACATTTATTAAAGTGCTGTATAGCCTCAATGAAAAGCATTGTTTAACTTGAGATTTTATGCACTTTTATACTTATCTGCAGTACATCTTAGCGAGAAATGTACTTTTCACACCAAGACAACTGATTAAGAGGGCCTTACGACATTTTTTTTAGGGGTTGACCTTTCATGTAGTGTGTTATATTGGCTTTTGTGCATGTAAATGGTCTGCAAAGGCTAAAATCCCAAAGTTCCCTCCAGAGGGAGTTTCTCTCTCACACACTCGCCCTCTGCCTCAAAAGCCTTAATTCGACTCCTTTGTTTACTTCCGTAACATAGTGAAATAACTATGTAACACTCGTGCTTCTGTACACATTGGAGGTGATAGTCTAAGGGGTGGGACATCTCTAAGAGGTGGTCCAATCACAACAGAGCTGGTCAGTTAACCAATCAGGGCAGACTGGGCTCTGGTTTCAGACAGAGAGTGAAAAAAGGTGCTGCAGCACAGGCAGTATGAGAAAAATAAAGAGCTTTTTGAACATTAAAACGTGTAAACATGTCACAGTAGAAGCACAACATACATGTAGGCCTACAAATATAAAAACCTGAAAATGATCATAATAGGGCCCTTTAAACATTCAAACTAAAGATTGATGTCTTCAATAGGAACTAAATGGCTTGGAACTAAGAACCCAAGACAGGAAGTTGCTTTTATGGTAATAAGAAGACATACACTGCCTACTTTAACCTGTATTTTATCATCAATGACCAATATCAAATGGCTGACAACCAGCCATGCAAACACAAATTAAAGGGTCAAAGATGTTTTCCTCTCCCTGTCCATCCTGTCTGATCCCTCACTCAGTAATAATGACACAGAGTTACACTGGCACACACTGGGACACATAACGGCCTCACATGTGGACAAGGCTCCACTGTGCATACACCACGCTTCCATGTACTCTCACACACACACACACACACACACACACACACACACACACACACACACACACACACACACACACACACACACACACACACACACACACACACACACACACACACACACACACACCGCCTCTGTGTGGGAACAACAAGTGCGCAGTGTCATGAAGTAACATGAGGCCCATACATTATGTTTCCATGCAGGGATGCCCCTTTTTCTCTCTCTCTCTGTTTCTTCCCGTTTCACCACCGGGAGGAGCCATAACGTCAGCGACTGTAAGCACTTCTGTCACATTTTTCAGGACAGCTTCATGTATTTTTGGCAGCTGTATGCTATATCTGTAAGCTGCTATCTATATGTTCGGCTGCTATCTGTATATGCACTATTCTGTGTAATGGCTGTGAAAACAAATATCCCTCTGGTACAATACATTTAAATCCAATCTAGGGGTCTCTGTCCTTGCTGCGTGGTGCGCAGGTCAGACTGGCATGTAGAAGTATTTAGGAAATGTCCTCCCCTCTGTCTCCCCCTTACAACGCTGCATCTATATAATAATAAGTTAAATCTAATCTAATCAATAAGGACAATTTAAGCCTGTGAGTTAACAAATATATGTGAAATGACAATACATTAATTAATTAAACATTTACAAATCTAATAATGTATATTAAAAAAGAAAACAAACAAAAGTCATAGAAAATCCTCACACCCACATGAGCAGTTGGGGTTAAGGGCTTTGGCAATTTATTATATAGGAAACAGTTTAATACAATATTTATAATAGATTATTTAAAGATGTAGACTTTGCCTTCATGACAACTATGAATGAGATAAACTTTGGACTTTTAACTGACCCTTTTTATATAAGTATTTGTGTTGATGATATAACTGTAACTTGGGGTTTGTGGGCTTTAGCAAAAGAAGCTAATCTCATTAGAGACCTACTTAATAGTGTTATTGTTCCACATAAAGCAGAAATAGAGAGCTGTGCCTTACATGTTATGAGGACATGTTATATAAATTAAATAAAGAAGAACACTTTATAACTTATAAGACTAAGTTACTGAAAACCAGAACTCAACATTGTACAATAAAATCTTACCTAAGTGTTTAGTATGCCACTGTGTATTATATTAATATATAAGATAAGATTACTATAACTGCTGCATCAATATGTGTTGCACAAATAGGAACCTGAACATTAGCATAATAGGGACCCTTTAACTCCTTAATATGCTGTATCTCATCTACATGAATGCATCATATTCTTTAAGATCATCACATTTGTATCTTTGTCGCCCTGTGCAAACAAGTTACTCAGAAAACATTCCTTTCCAGCTGATCCAAGAGGCTTTTTGAATAGTTAATTATTCTTAAGAAATAGCAGGATTTTCTTAATACATAGATGTATCACTTCATCCTAGTTTTTCATTTAAAATCAACACAACTGTATATTCATGGTTTTAACTGGACAAGGTAAGGTGATACAAAGGTTTAACCCTAAAACTGACTAAAGCTGTCAGACAAATAATTAAATCTACAATATATGTCTCTTAAGGGTGGGGTAGGTAAGTTTGAGAAACCGGCTCGAGATCGCTAGAATTTGAAAATACACAACCGGAGAAAATCTGCCACTTCCTTACAGAGCCCCTCCTCCAACACACACGAATGCGCACATGACCAATGAGGGCACGAGATAAGTTTGTGCACAGATGGAAGGCTGACAGGCAGGTAGGCCATCCAGTTATTTTAGCCGGGCCGGCTAAAATGATTGGTCGTGCTTTTTACAGTATTACAGCTTCCCCAGATGACATTTTTTTATGGATTTGTTTTCAAAGCATTTAAGATATTCATTGCTATCGGGATGTTAAGAGCATTCCATGGAATATAACAAAAAGTGTATCTTGAGCCGGTTTCTCAAACTTACCTACCCCACCTTTAAATGGAGTTGATGAAAGTTATATTAACATTTAAGGATGATAACATTTACTTTCATTACAACAGTTAAGTAAATGAACTCAAAAACTTTCAAAAGCTGCAGAAACCCTTTTCACTGACGTATGGACACGAAAATAGAGCCAATGCATAATTCAGGATCTGCCACTTGAAGCACGAGATGAGGCTTTTTTCATTTGCCTGGTTGTAAAAGTCCCAACTCACTCACACACACACACACACACACACACACACACACACACACACCACACACACACACACACACACACACACACACACACACACACACACACACACACACACACACACACACACACACACACACACACACACACACACAATCACATATTTGCAAATATCTTGTTCACTGCAGGAGTGTGAACTGAACTAATTAGCGTCTACGAACGTCACTTGTGAACAAATCCCTGTGGAGATGTGAGTCTCATAACTTACATTTTCATTGTTTCAAGTCAATGACAATAAGACATTTTAAATACAGGCTCATTATTCTTACTACTTTCAAATTCATTCAGTGTCCCTTTGTTAAAAAATATTATCATGCAAATTAAAGTATTACAAATAGAAACATGTCTCATGTGGCTGCTATACTATTTTACTAATTAAAACATTAATTATAATTCATGTTTTTCCTACCAAAATTGCAAATCATTTCTGTCAATTTAATATTTATTTTCAGCTGTACATGCAAAAATAGTTTAGTAGTTAAATGTATACCAAGACAAAAAAAATTGTTTGTGGAACAAAAATTTGAGTAAAGTTAAAGTACCTCAAATTAAATTACATTATATTTTCGCTGACGCCTCTATCCAAAGCAATTTACAATGAGTGCATTCAACCTTGAGAACTAAAAAGCAAGAATCCTGCAGGTACATTTCCTATCTATAAGCCCAACCAGATTAAGTGCAACTGCATTAGCTTCACTTACAGTAAAGCCAAACCTTCTGTAAGTGCTAGGTACAGATGAGATATTCTCCTTTGGCCTACGTGCTGGTAACAGGTAAGCTTTCAGTCTGCGACGGAAGATGTGTGGACTCTCCGCGGTCCTGATGTCAATGGGGAGCTCGTTCCACCATTTCAGGGCCAGGATGGCAAACAGGAGTGTTTTTTGCTGAGGATCCCACCCGCAGTGAGGGTGCAGCTAGCCACTGATTGGCCAATGCGGAGCGGAGTGCACGTGGAGTGTATACAGCCTTACACTCCAGCACTCCAGTACTTGGTTGCATTCAACAATACGACTCGTTTTTTTATACTTGTTGGCCCCTGTTCCACGTGTAAAAAGAGCTTCTCACCAAAAACTGAGCTTTTCAAATTGTCAAATTACTTAATTACTTAAACCAAGTATTTAGGAAGCATCGTCATCTCCTCAATTCCCCACTGTTGTTTCCTAAAACGACAACAGTGGTGCTTAGCAGCAGTTTGACTACTGTACATGGAGCCAATAGATACTATTGATTGATGTTTTAAATGAATGATAATTGAGATGATGCATTGTAAGGCAAATCTGTTGAGCTACACTGACAGAGGTGTTTCCTGCTGTGAATGTGCCCAGTTCTTGCATCATGTTCCTGCCTGGCCTGCATAGTGTTGTCAGTGAGGACATGTCTCCTGGTGTTACCTGAGGCTGACCCTGTGTATTAACACACTGAAGATTATGGGACGCAGGTTTGTCACAAGTAGGTGACGACATAATGAACCAGTG